GCTGGTCTCTCATGCTACGTGGCTTCTCCCGCACTCTCCCTGGTGTTTGGGGTACCCATAGCCCCCAGGCTGGCTGCGGGGCAGAGGGGGAGGCAGCTGCACCATGCGGCATTGGAGCTACGTTGGGGCTGGCACTGGTGTCCCTGCTGCTCTCCTCTCATGCTAGAAATGATGGAAAAAATCAAGAGCAAGCAAAGTTTTCGTTAGCTGAGTGGTGGATGACAGCTGCCCCCCAGCCTGGTACCAGCTGCGATAGCTTTTACATTACCTCTGTATGTCAGGTTTCGTTATGGTGGGTGGGATTCACAGGGAGATGCTGAAGGCATCGGGACCCCCCAGGTCACTGGTGGGAGAGCGATCGGTGCCCATTGTTAGCCAGCCGCCGGGTGCTGCTGCAGGGAACGCCACTTCTCTTCCTTGCTGCAGGGACACGTGGGTGAGGAGACAGATGGACCCGAGGAGATCGGGGCAGAGCAGGGCAGCAGCACCCAGCCTCGTTCTGCACGCATCCCCAGCTCCCCTTCCTCCAGCCCCAGGCTCCTGCCTTGCTCGCAGCACAGGGAGGAAACCACTGCAGGCAGCGGCTGCCTCCGTCTGCAGCAACCGCTGTGAGTGGGCACAGCTTCCCTGGGGTCACCTACCTGGTGGGGTTTATCCCCCAGCCCAGGTGTGTGGTGACAGTGGCTGGCCACAGCCTGGAGCATCCTGCTCCGGCTGGCCCTGCTCCGACCAGGGCTTGGGCTGGGCAAGCTCAGAAATCCCCACCAGCTTCAGCTGGTCTGGGGTTCTCCAGAAATTCATCTGTTTGTTTGCAGGAAGTGCCGCTTCTCTCAAGAGCAAATCTCCTTGCAGACCTGTTTCCTGAGAGTTACTGCAGCCCGGGGAACAGAGTAAATCTTCTGCAACAACGCGCTGGCTTGTCCTACAAACAGCCACAGCTCTGGGTCCTTTGGCCGGGCCGGCCCCAGGTGCTGAGCGTGACACAGCGACAGTAAATCGCAGCCCTCCCTCTGCAAGCATGCGCAAGCATGGTTAATTTGGAAATGTTTCATCCCATCTCTAGTAACTAACGCAGTGGGCCTCTGGCCTCTTGCAGCCTCCCCCCTTATTGTCACTGACTCGCCACCCCTCTCTCTGTCTTTCGGCCCAGGATTCACCATTGCCTCACACAGAGCCGGCGTATCTGCACCCTCTGCCGCCGCCTGGGCGCTGCGCGGGAGCTCACTGCAAGCTGGTCTCTCTTGGGTTTCAGGTCCAGAAAGCTGCAGCACACCATCGAGGTGTGGGGTGTGACTTTACAGCAGTGTGGCTAAGTGAGAGGGAGAGCATTTTGGTTTTGGCTCACAGAGGTACGAGACCTTGTTGGAGTTCAATATCACCAGGACTGGAGAAGTGAGCTCTGCTGCGAGTAACTGGGACTGTCACCCCTGACCCACCGGGGCTGTCAGGGAGAAGAGGCTCAAGAAGGGCTGCAGGAAGGTCGTTCGCTTTGTGGGGACAGGTGAGGCACTGGATACGGAGAGCTGAATGTTTTTTCCAGGAAACCTCGTCCTCCCTGAATCTGCTCTCTGCTAAGACCCTTTAAAAGCCAATTCACAAACAGTTTCCACCTAAGAAATAATCACTTGTATGAAGACTTAAGCTTCTTTTTCCCCACAATGATAATCCTTCATGAAAATGAAATAAGGATTTCTACAAAGTTTGTGGAGGCTTTTGGCATAATAATACCATCTGGCAATAAACCGCCCCGTTAATGAAACAAAACTTCTGTTGGTGCTTGCCCGGAAAACTTTGCCGGAATGCTTACCTTGCAGGTTACTGTAATTAAAGCTGATTTTATAGCAAAAAGGACACCAGGTGCATATTAATACTGCTTCTGACCAAAGCTTAGGGTAACATTTTTCAGTGAGAGAGTCTTTCTTTCCATCTATATTTTGAAGCATTCGAGTGCCCACGTTAAACCAATGCTCCCGGTTTTTGGTTAATTACAGGCACCCTTCTGTCCTTTTCCCCAGCAAAACTCAACTTATAACTGATTCTCACCAAAGACAGTTAAAAGCATATACATTTCTGTCGCCTCCCCAGAGGCTTAGCCCACCTCCAGGAAGATTCACATGGATTAACAAGGAATGTCTCTGCCTGCGTCGTTGCCTCGGAGAAAGCTGGTGGTGCCTGGATGTGCATAGCAGGCGACGGTCGTTACTGCAGGTTACAAATACCAGTGGCTTAAATAGCATTGGCTGAAGAAAGCACGATTTGAGGTTACCACTGAGAGAGAGGAGATTCCTATTAAACCAAACTCAGCTCTTCCCAAAAGTCACAAAAAAAAATCAGGTGAAAGAAAGCACCCAAGCAGAGGGGTAGACTGGCACCAAGATTAGGAGGAAGTACGATTCTCTTCTAATGCAATAATGGTAATGTAAACACTTTAAAATACTTCTCTAGTGGCTAAAAAAGAGCACGCTGCCTTATTTATCATCGTTGCTAGCACACATACCACCACAAAGAGAGTTTTCTTCTGATTGCTTTCCAATTACAGGTAAAAATTGTAAGGTAATTGGATTTTATACACTCTCATCCAAAGGCTTTGGAACATGATTATCTACGGTGATTGACATATCCCAAGTGGTGAATTATTGCATTAGAGGCATGTGTGCAGCTCTTACCTACAGCCAGTCAGAAAACGCATTGAGCTGCCTAATTCCAGTCCTTACTGGGAAATGGTGCAATCTAGGCTGAAACCAGACAGATTTTGAAAACTTCTATATTAGTGACGGAAGTGAAAATAAGCTGTACCCACTGAAAGGCTCTAAATTATGAGAGATATGAGAGATAACTTAATAAAGGTGTATTGCTTCATTAGAAACGCCTGCACACATATGTCCATACAGTGCAACCAGCTCTCTTTTCCCAGTTCTGACCTGCAGGCTTTTTGTCCGGTAGGTTCACAGGAGCAGACTGGGAATATGCCCTGCTCGGAGGCTAGCTCTGCCGATCAGGAGCACCTGCCTGACCTTGGGTAGCTCGCGTCACTGTAAAACAAAAGAAAATTTAGAATTCCCAGCAACGAGGCCCCTCTCACAGCCATCGGGAGTACAACTTCCACTGCGAGCTGATGGCAGTTTACCTTGGGTTGGGTCACTTCAGCCTCGCCCTAAGCACGGCCACCAGAGAGCTCTCTGGCCATGCGGCAATTGTACATCTGCCAGTCTAATCGGAAACTCAAATATAAAGTGTACGGTGCTGTGAAGCCGGACGCGCGCCACTGGAAGGGCTGACAGGTACGTACCGGGCACGGGGGGCTGCTGGGAAAGCGCGCGCCTTGGAGATGTCCTAATTCCGGCCCGCGCGGGCTGCTGCTGGTGCGGCACAATCGGAACGGGCGTTGTAATGCTGAGTGAACAACTCTGCCTTACAAACCACCGGTAATGGCTGAGCTTTCAGCAAATCATAGCTGTTGTTCGAATAAATTATAGCTCCCGTGAAGAAGATGAACATTGCAGTTTCAGATAAAAAAATTACTAAGGAGCTTGCTTTGACAACAAACTGAGGCAACCTAAAAAAAAGAAAATCTGCTTATGTCAAGCTTCAGCAAGTGGGCAGTGAATTGGCTGAATGATAGTCACACATTTCAGAAGTCCGGCTGTGCAAACCACTTCCCACGTATGCAATTCATATATAAAAAAGACAATCCAATTTTCTTCCCGGTACAGAAAAGTCCACTGAAATTTCTGAGATGCTATTTTTAAAATGGCATACCCATAAACCTGCAAACTGTTGGGCAATGTAGACTTTCTTTTAAAAACGGCTCTTAGCTTCAAAAACAAAAGCCGGTAGAAAACACAGCCACTAGTTTGATGATGAGAATGGAAACAAAGAATGGCGACGGATCTCATGGGACTGGGTGACACACATCCCTTCATCCGCAAAGCCTGTTATTACAAAATGTAGAAATAAAAGAAACCGCCCTGGTGAGAATAAGGGCAGTGAATCTTTTACCAGCTGTCGCCAAGGGAGAAAGCACAACGTGGTAACCTTATAAAAGCAAACCTCCTGCACTGGTTAAGGAATAGTCTCCTTTTGCCCAAGCCCAGTTTGTAATGAACAGGATCCTGCATGCAGCCAGGTGGCCAATGCCAGTGTATACACACACACATAGATAAGATATATAGATATGTATATATAATTAAAGGTGTATGGATGTATAAGTAGAATGTCAGTAACAGAGTGAGTCTCCCTGCCACCTTTACTAGGAACTTTTCTAGAAGGAAAGAATATAACCTAGAAACAATATTATCAGAAACTTTTATTTGTTGTGGTTTGTAGCTTCACACAAACACTGAAATAAAGAGGAAAGCATTTCAGATTTTCTATCTGCAGGCAAAATACAGAAACACATAAAAGATTTGTCAGTATTAACAGCCAGAGAATGAATCAATAGATCTGCTATGGAAGGAAGATTAAGCTTTTTTTTTTTTTTTTTTTTGTAAAAATTAATAAATTAGTTCTTTTTAAGTTACATTTTATTCTTGTGTGCAGATGTGCATTTTCTGTTGTTTCCCATTTTTGTATTTAGTACAAACATATGGTAAAGGGTAGTTTGTCTGGTAAAATGGATAAGAATCAGACAATAGTTCTGAACTAAGAGCCACTTCAAATATGTTTTGAAGTGAAACAGAATCTTTCCACTACCTTCAACAGAAGTAAAGTCAATCCCAAACTACAGAATTTTATGGACCTATAGTGGGAAAGCAAATGTAATTTCTAAGGTTTATATTTACTAAGCCATTGTAAAATGTGTTAACAGTTGGAGATCTATCGAAATCCATAGTTAGACATAGCAGTAGGTAGATAGAGCTCCGTAGTTAATAATAATTTAAAGCAAACAGCAAAAAAATATTTTGTCTAACCAGGCTAGAAAAATCAAAATATGCCAATTAAATGAAATGCAGTGAGAACAGGACAAAACTTCTGTATTCCTTACATGCCGTTCTAGTTGGTCACTGCTTATCTCTCTCCTTCATTATATCAATGTAGTTCAGCACCTCTAGAGTCCTTCTGCCAGCCAGACTCAGATACTCAGCTTCAGAAGAAAACGCTGCTATTTCTGCTGCGCTGCCGGTGCCCGCAGGCTGCAGCGTCTGGTGTGCTGGCATTTTGTGCCCTCCAGCGGTGCCTGCGGCGCTGGGGGGAGCGAGCCCCCCCAGGCTGCGGGCAGAGGGGAGAGAGCTCCCACAGCTGCACACCTGCATGGTGCCACACTGGGTGGCAACATCCACTTTCTCCACTTCTGTAAGAGAGCTCTCCGTCTGCGACCAAGCATCACAGCCAGTACTGCCAGTGACGTGCTCTCTTTTAAGGGCTTGCTGTAACGAGCTGCCCTCAGGTGGGGCGGTGTGGTTTTTATTTTCCTCGTCTGTGGCACAGAAAATAGAGTCTTTCTCCTGAAGATGGTTTGCTGCTTCTCTAGTTAAAATACTGCTGGGCTGGAGAGGCACAGCTCTGGTCTGAGAGGTCTTGGGGGGCTCTGTACTTGCTGAGGCTGAGGTTAGGTTGGCATCGTCTATCTTCAAGGACCTTTCATTCAGATATTCCTTCTTTTTGGCTGTGTCTTCCTCTTCAGACTGTTTGAACAGAATTGTGTGAATGTGTTTAAATAGTTCAATAACCAAGGACGAAGTTAATGACTACCTAATAACTAAGTTAATGAAAAAAACAGAAAGGTCAGAACTGTCTGGTTTTGGGTTTTTTTTTCAGTCTTTCTCCAGGGGTGTACTCCTGGCCTTTCTTGAAGAGAAGGTGGGTAAGGTGGACCTTCACTCTCACACAGAATTTATATTGTGGCATTTTTGTGTTCAAGAATGGCTGAAAACATACAGTGTGCCAAACCCTCCTGCCTTACAGGCATGTAATGTAAGGCAGCTATACATCAAGGAAAAGAGCAGAAGCTTGCTTAGCATCTTCCCACAGTCATGTTACTGTAATTCCACAAGGCCTGTTATTTTCAAGAGACCAGACCAAATGTCTGTTAAACAACTCAGGGAAATTTACAGCTAATCATTTCTTGTCTTCCTCACACATGAAGTTCATCATAGAATCATAGAATCGTTAAGGTTGGAAAAGACCCTTAAGATCATCGAGTCCAACTGTTAACCTATCACTAAGTTGCCTTGTACAAAACAAAACCATAACTAAGGTTCCAGCTGCACCCTTCGGTGCACTCAAGCATACAGATATCATTCAAATGAACGCCTGCAAGCCCATAAAGGGGCAGTACTCACCATGTCAGGACTAGAGCTGAAACAGGTCTCCGTCTGCCTTGGAGAGTAACTGGGAGACTGGCTGCTGAGTGATGACTCCACATCTGAAAAACGAGATGAAAAGGAAAGAAAGGTTGCTCACCAAAAATTCCCCAAACATCCAACTCCCAAGTACCGCACGTAGAAATAAACACTACTACTTCTGATGCAGGTTTAAGATACTGTTTAATGAATAAAGTGTTAGCAAGGTCAATCTAGGTCTTGGCAATAGCCAGTTTGTCTCCTCTCAGGACAACACATCTTAACACAAAGCACACGAGACGGGTTCCCCAAAGCTTCAGCTATGCCGTTAATCAGCAGCCTGCACCAGCAGCAGAACTGTGCTACCCAAAGGCAAGGCCAGGTTGGACAGGGCTCTGAGCGACTTGGTCTAGTGAAAGATGTCCCTGCTCATGGCAGCGGGGTTGGACTAGGTGACCTTTAAAGGTCCTTTCCAACCCAACCCATTCTATGATTCTATGAATCTGTGAAAAGGAGGAAGGACTCTGCAGAGCAAGGGCAGGGAGAGAATGCAGCAAACTCCCTGCACACACTGGCTGCCATACAAGTTACATGGCCTTATGGCCATGTTTTTCTCTTGGAGGCCCTTGGGAGATCTTCTGCTCCAAAACGCAGCCAGCACAGCTGACCCCTACAGCTACTGAGGGAGCAAAAAGGATGCGGGATCTCGCTGCTGACTCCCCTCACTCTGTCCACATATGGAAACAAAACGCTTCTCCCTGGCTTTAAAAGTAACTGTTTCAGTTTCACATGTAGAGAAAAATCTGATTTTTGACTTAATAATGTATAAATGGTACTAACCCTTCTCCATCTCATGAAGATTTGAATTCACTCCAAACTTATACTCTTTCTCTTGTACCGCTGTGAACTTTTAAAAATAGGTAAGTGTTAATAGTGAGGGTTCAGCTGGATCAGCACCTCAGGTTAAGTGAGGAATATTCAGTTTCTGTATTACATAAAGGAGTCACTGCACTGTACCACAAATTATTTCAAAACCCCTGAGCAATACTGTATGTACCTGGGTGACTTCTATCAGCAAAATATCTACAAGATTCTTTATATATATATATACACACCAGCATAAAGTTCCTTTATAATACTGAGGTGTCCTGCATATAATGTCTGGGCGCTGCCTGCAGAATCCAATCCTAAGGGTTAATGGGTAACTTATGCAATGTATTTCAGGCATCAGTTTAGGTGTGATTCAAACCACGTAAATTATGGACCTGAAAAGCCTATCTATCTATCTGAACCACTTAACTAGAAGCTGTTCTTTCTGGCTGCACTGTATAAACCACGAAGGAAAAGAAACTTCCACCAAAGCTAATTCAGAGAAACTAAATTCAGTTTCTGACTGTTGTGGATGTTCCTTCTCCACCTCAAATGAATGGTGCAAACAGTAGGTTTGACAAAAAAAAATGTCTCTTTTAAAAATTACCTCTTCAAACCTAAAGAGCTGATTCTGTCTCCAGGCTGATTCTTTGACAAACTCGTCATCACTGAGGGATGCAAACACAGAGTTCTCTGGTAAGTGATTTCCCCTCCTGTACTTTCATTTTCTTTCTGAATTAAAGTCATTACTGGTGACTCTTTTGTCTTCAATTTTTATTTTGCCTTCAGTAACCCTGAAATGCTTCCCACTATTGAGATCATTGAACTTATTTCTGAACCTGAGATTTAGCAAACTTCTCTTCTGTTGAAATGTGAAATGTAATATCAGAGATGACAGAAGATAGTGCTGCTTTGTGAAACAGAAAGTGTTACAGATCAGAGTCTTTGATAAAACCGTCTTTTGTAAAACATAGGACACTCATATATGCTAACTTTAGCCCAGGGAAGACACTAACTTCCTCTGCAGTCAGTGGAAGGAGGCAGGGTCTTTTAGAGGGCAAGTCAGAGCACCAGTTTAACTTCAGGGACTCAAAACTGTCCAATGAAGCAGTCTTTCTCTATACTTATTATAGGCAGATGAACAATGGTACAAAAGGCTTACATGTGCATAAGTTCATTCACATTATTCACTACTATTTTCACTGGGAAAACTTGGGTCCTCAGTAATACTGCTTAGAATTTTGCCTTCATGTCCTCTTAGCAGGATTTCTCCAATTCAGCAAGGTCTCTGCAGTTATCACTAGTTAATACACTGATAAATTCTATGGCACTCACCTTGTTTTACTTGAATAGTTCTGTGCGTTCTCCTTTAAGTTAATCTGCTGATCATGGTGATAAGGAAATGTCTCTAAAATAAAAAAGTAAACTTTGATTTTAAAATGCAATAGCATAAATGCAATTTGAAAATAAATGCTTCTGTCAACTTTTAAAAATAACTTAATTGGATTTAAAATTAAATTGGATTTAAAATTAAATAAAATGCATTCTGAAGATTCATGACATGTTTTTGGTCAGGGCAGACACATCTCTGGTTATAAAAACATATATCTTTAAAAGGAGAATAAAAACCAGAGTATATGTCCTTAAAATATTGACACTCACCAATTTGTTCAAGGTTTGCAGGTTTTTCTTTGTTTTCAGAGGGTATGAAGTAGTGCTGTCCCTCATGACAGTCCTGCAGGTGGGTTTTATGAAGTCTACTGGTCGTCTTGTAGCTTGCATTTGAGGCATTGTTACTTTTAAGTAAACCCTGTTCTGGAGCTGTGAAAATGCCTTTAAGGTGTCTGTCCACAGAACTTTTTTGTGCATTGATTGCAGGATAAGCCTCTCTAGTATCATAAGGATAATTTCTGTTGGTCATTTGATTTCTATCATCAGGATCAATGAAAAAAATGGCAGTACTGCTTCGGTTAACAAAAGGATTAAAATGTTTTGTGGAACGATTATTATGGATTGGTTGGCTCTCCTCTTCAAACAGTGCCAGAAAGGAACAATCACTTCCATCTTGGGGAGCTTTCAGTTCTGCAATTTCTTTCACAACATCAAACAATGGTTCTTTTATTCCTTCACTGTTTTCTGATTCGTTACTGGTCATTATCACTGGATTTTTCCTGGCAGAATTCATATAGTCTAGCCTGGGGGTGGAGGGGGGATAGGGGTGGGTAGAAAAGAAAAAACAGTTTGCTCAGTACATAAATAAGCAAAATACTAACTGCTAACACAACAAATAATGATAACTTGATGATAAAAAATCTGAAAGACTTTACTCATCACACTTGCTTTTGTCCCAAATGCACATTATTTCAACTGAAAAAGTATCCTGTATTTTATTTCCACTTCATAGTAAGGTTGATTTAAAAGGAGTTCTGTTTCATGATGTCTCCAAACATACAAAGACATGGAGCACATCCTCCTGAACAGGGAACTGTGATTTATAAAATCAGCCACAGTATGTCACTGCTGCTCCACCAGCTGACCAAAGAAGTCCACTTTGGGGGGAAAAAAAAAAAAAAAAAAAAAAGAGGAAGACAGCTTCTTCTGTTCATAAAAACTGTTTGTTATTCAAGACTACAGTTCTCTCCTGTACTGAAAGCCCATAATAAGCTCTGCGTACTGCTTAATTCCTGGTCTCCTTAGCAAGTGACTCCCATTGGTACTTGAGGTCAGTAATCCTAATTCAGCACAGAATTTTTCTACTCCAGCATCAGGAGGCCAGTCAGACATTTTGTTTTGCCCATACTTCCCTACCCCACTTCTGATAGTAGTGGTTTTGAAGATGCCATCATGCTAGCATCACTAGCATGAAAGCTATCATGCTTTCACTTGGCTCCTAATCTAACATTTTCACTGCTTTTTTCTAGGCTTGATCTGCTGACTGACCTTTCAGAAAATGTGAGCAAAAAGTCGAGAGGCTTCTGAAGCACAGAGAATTGTCAAAGAAGGTAATTCAAAAAATGCCCTTTCTTTAAAAAATTTTGAGCAATGCTATCAATGGAACTTGAAAACTGAAATGTAGTACAGAAAACTCTTACTGGAGAAAAATTCTGTAATGTTTTGATCAGCAAATACTTGGAACTGGATAAAGATCCTAGAGAACTTAAATGAGAAAGTAGTGTCCTCTATTTACAGAAACTCCTCAGAACAGTTTTAAAAGGCTAAACACACTAGAGTTTGTTTCTGAAGAAACTTGGATAGATCTACATGAGGAAGGTAAAAACATTTTGTGAAGCAATTCAGAGGCTTCTTCTTCACTCCAGCTGAACATTCTGTAATGCTGTATGTTAACAGCAGATGAGGAAATAGCTAATAGTCAGAGTGAGAGACATATGCTATTTTTATAAGACATCTAAAATTTTTAGTTAATATTTAATGCTTTTGAGGTGCCACAGCTCTCAGATGTATGCACATTGATTACATCATCAGTATGTTACAATTACATTAAATGATTGTACAAGTTTATACTTCACTTTTCGCACACAGCGAAAGAAGCTCCCTTCCCAGGAGAACTGGCAGCTCTTGAGGTATAACAATTCATGGCTATAATGGATGAAAACAAAACAAGGATGATACAAAGAAATGGATTTGAAGAACAGTTGGAAAGGAGATGTTGTTAGTGAGCCATGAATGGGCAGAGGACCAAGGGAGGTGCCATAAGCAGACAAGTGCAGGCCTGAGGGCCTGTGGAGAAATGAAAGGGGAGATGTAGGAGAGATAAGGTTAGGTAGGGCTTTAATGTAAAGATATTCATCAGGAATTCACCAAGATATACAGCAAGGTGAATGTTATCCTCGTTTTAGGTTTTGCTGGAGAAAGCCAGGAGAAGCTAGGAGAAGAGAGAAAGAGAAAGAGAAAGCTGAGGTGGCCAGGACTGGAAGCTGATGTGTTCATCTAGTTATCATGTGGTCAGTGAGCTTATCAGTCACTTGACTTGCAGGCAAACAGACTATAGGTACTTCAGGAACAGCAAAATAATATATGGCCTTTTTATGGCTCTATCCAGCCAAAGCTAGAGACTGATAGGAACTTTCAACCAGGCTGCAGACTTACTGAATAAAAAGAATAAAGGAAGATCAGCCCTGTAAGACCCCTAGATCCAAAGCAAGAGCCCCCGGAAAGAAACTGAAATAAAATGTTCAGTATAAATGAGTCTGGCCATAAACCCTCTGTAATTAAAAGGATTTTTAATCAGCACATACAAAAAGAAATATGTTCTAGATTTCTATCCATTCTTTTTTTTTAAAAAAAAAAGTATATATTCTCATAAATTATTATTGAACCAATTCTACAAAAACCCACTATAGTAGGATCACATATAAAAGATAAGGAAAAAAAATGCTTTGTTCCTGGAATCCCAAATGTAAACAATGTAGGTGGAGAAGTTGCTCAATTGCTACAGCATCAAGGTCATCAGAAAAGCACTTGCAACAGTGACCAGAACTAATGAGAACTGGGGCAGCTGCCCTCCCTGTGGTCTCTTAGTAAATCTGCGCTTCTCACTCAGGCTGAATTCAGTAACACCATCCTGTGTGTGACGTTGCAAAAAAACAGATCATGGTTCCAAGTGCCTATATAAAATTCACATTTTGCTGCCTTTTGGCAAAATAGCTCAGTATGTTCAGTCTTTCCATTTAATTTCCATTTCTATTTGAAAAGCACCAAAAATCAGTGAAAAATCAAGTAGCAATAAGTTTCAGATTATCTTAGTATTTTTCTTACTTCAACTTGACTGTTATTCTCTCTTTAATGTAAAATCACTGCCTACCTATGCAATGGCTTAAACAGTTCCTGAAGCACTGTGCCGGACTTCCTGAAAATACACTGACTTGGAGGTTGTGTAATCCAAGGGTCTTGATCAGAACTATTTCCTGGCTGAGAAAACAGTAGAAGCTGTCAAACTCTGAATATATATAATAGTTATAGTGTTTAAAACTTTAAAGTTGGGTTTGCAAGCAATATACATGTTTTCCCACTATTTTCACTTCTTTTTATCTTTACAGTAGAAGCTAAAACTTCCTTACAGCCCAGCTGAGTTCTGTATAACTCATACTTTTCCCTATTTGTATATCATCACTGTTAATATGCAAAATGTCCTTTTAGCACCCCATCCTCTCCTAGTATGAACACGCTTGATAGACTATAACAAGCTGAAGTTCCACCGAAGATCACATACTCATAGAAAGCTGTTGTCTAGAAGGGACCTCAAGAGGTATCTAGTCCAAATTGCTCAAAGCAGCGCCAGCTTCAAGGTTAGGCCAGGTTGTTCAGGATTGTTCAGGACTGAGATTCCACAACCTGTTTGGATGGCCTCTTCTGGTGCTTAGCTACTTTTATGACAATATTTTTTTCCTATACAAACAAAATTTCCATTGTTGAAACTTGTGACTTTTACTTCTTGCCATTTCACGTTATGCCTCCGGCTCTGTCCTGTCTGTAACTCTGTTTACCTGTGGAAGACAGCAGTTATTTCACCCCACACCCTTCTCTTTCCCAGGCTATGAAAGCCCTCTTTGCTCAGTCTCTTCACGTTCATCATGTGCTCCAATCCCCTGACAATCTTTGCAGCCCTTCATCGGTCTTGCTATAGTTTGTTGATCTCTTGTATTGGGGGTCCCCAAACTGGACACAGTATTTCAGATGTGCTCTCACATATGCTGCTCAGAGTGAGACAATCACTTGCCTTTGACTGCTGGGTATGCTCTGTCTAATACAGCCCTCTAGGGAGCTGGCCTTCGCTACTACAAGGGTGCACTGCTGACTCATGTACAACTTCTCCACCAGCACCCTCAGGTCCTTCTCTGCAAAATTGCTGCCTACTCAATCAGTTCCTGCCTGCACTGATGTGTGGGGTTATTTCTCCTGAGGTGCAGGGCTTTGTATTTCTCTGTGTTAAACTCCATGAAGTTCCTTGTGGCCTTCTGCTTGGCAAGATCCCTCTGAGTAGCAGCCCTGCCTACTGTAATGATCACTCTGACAATTTGGTGTCAGGCATGAACCTGCTGAGGTGCTGAGGGTGCATTCTGTCCCATTGTCCAACTCTCTAATGAAGATGTACTGGGCTTAGTACTAATCTCTGGGGATCCCTGCCATTACTGACCTGTTGCCAATTAGACTTTAGCCCACAGACAACTACTTTGAGCATGATGGTAACAGCCATTTTTTTACCCATCTTATTGTCCACTCATCTGGTTCATACCTCCCCACTTTGGCTACTAAGATCCCATGGGAAACCTTGTCAAAAGCCTTCCTAAAGTCAAGGTAAACAATATCTGCTGCTCTCCCTTATTCATAGAGCTAGTAATTTCATCACAGAAGGCAATCAGGTTCATCAGGTACTTGGTAAATCTATGCTGGCTGTTCCCAGTCACCTTCTTGTTCTTCATAGAATCATAGAATGTCCTGAGTTGGAAGAGACCCACAAGGACCATCGAGTCCAGCTCCATGTACCTTGGAATTGCCTCCAGGAGGTCTAGTTCCATAATCCTTTCAGGGACAGAGGTGAGATGATACTTCCCCAGATCATGCTTACGTTTTTGCAGATAAGCATAACATTTGTGTATTTCTTGTCACTGAGAAGCCTTCCTGATCAGTCTTTCAAAGATGATAGACATCTGCCCTGCAGTGGTGTCATCCAACTCCCTCAATATACTTGGATGCACCCTGTTCAGTCCCACGTATTTCTTTATGTCCAGGTTACGAAGGATTCTGTAACTTGTTCCTTCACTATTGTTTTGCACCACTCTGCCCCAAACCCTCTACTGAGCTTCAAGATGTGCCAGAGAGCAGACCTTGTCAGAGAAGCCTGAAGCAAAGTAGGTCTTGAGTGCCTCAGACTTTTCCATGTCCTTTGTCACTAGGTCATGAACTCTATTTAGCAATGGACAGCATTTTCCTTGGTTTCCTTTTGCTGATGATATACCTATAGAAGTCCTCCTTGCTGCCCTTCTCACCCCTTGTGAGTTTCAGTTCTGGCCGTCCTAATGCCACCCCTCCGAGCTCAGGAGCTCAAGCTGTATTCTTCCTGGGTGGCCCATCCCTCCTTCCACACTTCCTTTTTGCATGTGAGCTCAGTCAGGAGTTCCCTGATTCAGCCAAACTGGCCTCCAGGACCTACTCGTTCTCTTGCACATTGAGGTCGACTGTCCTCGTGTTTTGAAAACATCTTTCTTGGGCTCCTTTGTCAGGTCAGCTTCCCATGGGTTTCTGCCTACCCGTTCCCTGAACAACCCAACTTCTCCCCTTCTAAAGCCCTGAAGTACTCCTTCCTCACTTACCTCAAGACTTCAAAATACCACTGGTGATACACGTAGAACTTGTTTTATTATTTTCAACAAATAATACATTTTCAAAAAATAAAGCATATTATGAGACCCCCCTCGTATTTGCTATTACTTTTCTAAGGATAATTCTTTTAAGAATCCCAAAGTCAACAAAAAGAAAAAAATAGTAACATGCATCAGAACAAATAACTTTAAATCATTTCTTAGAATCAACTTGACTTAAACAGCAGGATTTTCTCAATCCTTTTAGGAGCACTGAGAATACTGTAAGAACTGTGTTACTCGCTGAGACACTGGATGCTTACAAATTAGGTCACGGTGATCACCTGGGATGATACCATACCCAGTTATACTAATTGTACATTTAAGAAAGCCGTATTTATAACTATAATACATTTCAGCTTTCTTTAACCAACTTTACAAGCCAGAAACAAAAGAAAGCCAGTGGTATATGACTAACTCTTTCTGCACATATCAGTGATACTGAGAGCTCAGTGAACAAAAGCTCAAGTTAAGCGTATTTCATAACAATAAAAGAAATATACTGGTATATATGGAATATTCATTGCCACCAGCCTACAAGAAATGTTGATCATTCATAATTATCTTTACCATTACACTAATTCTACACCCCAAATAAATGAAAGTTAGTTTAGAATAATTCTGCAGAAATGACAAAATGTTAATCAAACCTGGTTTTGCAGCTTCTCTTCATAGGTCTGTTCCCAAGTGTTGCCCATTAGGTTTGTGTTGAAATTTTCTTCTGAAAGTTGTGTACAGTTAGAGGACGAAAAAACAGAAGCGGACGATGGACAGGCACTAAAAGCTCTTGCTGTGTTGTCTTCATGTTCCATACTAGAGTCAGCATACATTAATTCTGTTACTTGTGATAACTAGACAAAACATAGCAAAGAGACGTTTTATTTATCTAAAACTGTTTTGATGTAAGCATCAAAAGTTCAAAGTAAGCAAAGCTTTCTATATCTTTTACACCTCTGCACATATATCACAAGCAAGAGAAAATTTTCATGTATTCTGATATGATTTTTTCATGAAAAACATAAGGTAACAAGGGCTTATTTCAGGGAGACACATAAGTACCTACTTAAGTTGAAGCATGCACACAAATGTTATCCTAAGGAGAGACAGGTATAAATACATTTTTAGCTTTAGATGTGTAGGTAAATGATCTGCTGACTTGGTTGTTAAGCAGTAAAATGAAATTTTTTTTACTCCATTGAGGAGAGAACTCCAGCATGTTGTGATACCAACAGTACTATCTCTAGCAGATCAGAACACAAGGAGAATTTGGAATGCAAAACTCATGAAATGTCACTGTATCCACAGCTACATGGAAGTAAAGCCTGTAATCCAGTTTATCCAGTGAAAGCAGCACAAACTACTAATGAAGTGCAAAAGCCTCGTACATTAATTGCACAAAATCTTTATACCACAAAACTGCACGTTTCCAGAAAGCTGAAAATTATTTTATAGCCCCTCTTTCTGTTTAATAAAGTGGATATATCTTAATTACTTAAATTGGATATACTTCAACTTATGAAGATTTTAAAAACAGTTCTTTGCAACACACAAGCCTTAGACTTTATTTTTTGATTCATACATTAAATTAGCTTTCTGTGAGTGCACACTTCATTATCACATGTTTTAATGAACTGATGTAAATCTATCCATACAAGTGCAGGTTGAGGAGAAAATTAGCTATCATTCTGATCCGTTATTTCTGGCCACAGTAAGTCTGAAATATGTCCTCTCTGCCTTCAAGAAACAGATAAAAAAGAGTCATAAAGGAAGGCTGACATGATGTGATATCCAAAAAAGTAGTGGCAGCTCATGGTGATCTTGGCTGAAACACATTAGACAGCTAAACTTTTCACCCATACTAAGTAATTGTTCCTGACTCAAAAGAAAGGAACTTCTAACACTAGAAAAACATCTGCCTTTCTCACTCTAGGAAAACATGCTTTGGCAACATGAGTGGGCCAAGAACATACAGAACAATACTGTGCAAGCATCTTTTGCAAGCACCTTTTCCTCAGAGTTCTATCTGATGTGAATAGCAGGAGTCAGTGGAGCTACATTATCAAGCAAGTCTGAGTAACCTAAACTAAGCATCTTCTAACAGATTTACTAACTTGGTTGTTTTTTTGGTTTGGCTGGTTTTTTTACACCACAGTGGAAAATAAAAAAAAGCCTAAATTCCATCTAGAGAATGTTTTTCACTGTAACCTCAATAAGTGTACGAACTTCCCAATTGTATCCACTGAGACTTGTGCTTAAGTTCTTCTTAAAGACTCACTTCTGTCTATGCTTCTCACATTTCATCATTTGACATTTCTGCACACGGTTTTTAACTTACCTGCTGTTGGCCTCAGTCTCTTTCCCATAATCTCTGTCTTTTGTGACGAGCTTAGAGCACAGATATTCTTAGCTATTTTGGAAAATGCCTAAAACAAGGTGAGCCTTTCAAGAAATATGTAAGAAATAGCAGGAACAAATATAAAATATGACTGGCAAATAATATATCAGTATAGCCTTAAAGAGGAAGACTTCACATGTTTTAGTATCCATGAAATTTGGTCGCTCTTTGAAAAATCACTTAAAAATACAGTCATTGCTGTACATTTTTAGCTTTACATCAGTGAGAACAATAAACTTACTTACATTACGCTGGTATTTTACTTTCTCAGAGAGATGCTGCCTTCTGCTGTCCAATACTTGCTTTTGTAACCTTGTAAAATGAATAAAAACAGCCTATGAAATACAAGATATAAGATCTATAAAATTAAAAACATTCTGAGTATTAATTTCAAAATAATTTAAAAATATTTTTCCACACATCTTAAAAAGGCCTGATTCTTAAGCAGTTATGAGCAGCCAGTGTGTCAGTCAGTCACTTTAGCGTGTCTGAAGTTGAAACAGGAAAACAGTGAAACAAGGAAAACAGTGTAAGTGGAAAATGCTGTTTGAATAGCCTGCTCCGTGAGATAAACTTAGTGTATGTACCTGACATGAGTAAAGAAACACTATTTTTTTTAAATCTCTCAGCTTCATATACAGTTTTTTATTCAGAATACATTTATTTACTCTCTCATAGTAAGAGTATTACTGGAATGCCAGGAGTGATTGTGAAACTTCTTCATCTTAGAATGGTATATTTATGTTTACTTAATACCCCAAATATAAGAGCATCATGAAATACCTTTTCCAGAACTTCATTATAGCTTAACTACTGCCTATTTTTAACAAGTACCTGTTCTGGATGTCATCTAAGTTTGACGTATGTTGTGTACGTAGTGGTGATATGGGAAGCTCTATGTTGTGCCTCCTAACAGGTATTTTCACATCTTCAGTGATATCAATGTGGACCGGCTTCCTCATGTTCCCTGCAATGAAAGCATTTGGAATGTCAGTGCTAGGCTTGGAGAAAGTTTTGAGCTTCCTGAATTTTCATTAGAGTACAAAAGCTGTTGGTTTAGGTTTCTTAATCCATATTTTATTGGGTTTTTTTTTGTTACTAGCAATGCAAGAGCTCTATTCTAAATGACATTATAGTATAAAATTATTTACAGTCAGCTGCTGTGTGTAGACAGGCTCTGTTGCCCTCCTCAGTCACCTTCTAATCTTCCTGAGCATAGGAAAACAAATTCTCCACAATTATCAATATGTTACAGATGGTAAGAGTTAGGACTCAAGTTGTAGATATGTTTTTTAGGAGCTTAATGATGGATTTTAAGAAAGATACTCTGGGTAGAACTGACAGACTACACCAAATGCCCCCCAAAAGTTATGAAAAAGGAAGTGGAATACAAATGGACCCATGGATGTAGGGTAAAATCAATGGATGGAGTGAGGAAGGTGCAGAAACCTATATGGCTTTAAAGGTGAAGTAGGCAGTAGCCAAGGTTATTTGTCCTGACTTTTTATTCATTCATGTTTGTATTTACTTACATTTTTTTTATTTTAAAAATAAAGCAACACTTATTTGAGCATTAAGTTATAAGTGGAAGAACAAGAACTAAAATAATAGCAGTAATAGTTAAGGATAACTGATTCTGTTAACTGTGAGGTCAGAACACTCTTACACTGAACTCACCGGTGTTGTGTTTTTTGGTTGATATCTGGTTAACAACATATAGATTGAGGAGATCTAAACTGACTGACGAACTTTTAGGCGATGATACTCCCAGAAGCTTCATCTTTGATTTAAGTTTCTTCTTTTCAAAGAATTCCTAAATTTTTTAAAAGAGAGAATAAGTTTTTGACAGAAGCTTCAACAACACGTTAGCAGCATATATAATTCTTAGTAAACAATTGCTAATAATAAAAGCACATGATTAAATCTCTCTGAATTCTCATGTCCTGTCTACTGTTATTTAGTTTACTTTTATTGCCTTGAAAAAGATTGCAAGTATAATTTGGTCATATTCAAAATAAATCACTGTTCTCTTGATGCCAAAAACTTAGTCCTTAAACAGTCAGTCCTCAAACTTTGTGTATGATCATTAAAAATATTTCTTTAAAGTAAAAGACATACCAAAATGCTGCAAGGAAAAAGTCTTAAAAAAAATTTAAACTTGGGCTTTTTAGGCAGCTTATAAGCTAGTAGGCAAATAAATCAGCAAGATTGCGTACACACAGCCATCTATAATGACACAAAGAGTTTATTGTTCTTCAAGTTTGTCTTTCTCGACATAGAAAATAGTCTTGTGACAAAAAAAAAAGAGAAAAAAGTAAAGAAGAAAATCTCTAAGACTGAGACTTTGGAAAGGCTTTTGTCACAAGGAACAAAAAGAGATATGACTGACACTTTGAATATATCAGGCAGATAATTCCGGAAAATTTAGGCAACAAAAATCTCTATTTTGTAGGAGACTATTAATAATCATCCTAAAATCATTAGCATCAAGCATAGCAGATGAATAAATAAAATCAGTAAGATTTCTTTATTCTAACCACAAGAAAGATATTGAAAACTGAAGGTTATGCCAAAACGCAAAATAACATTGGCTTTTCTTCTGAAAGGTAATTCCTCTTATGATTGCAGGTTACATGTAACTAATATACACACCAGGTTTGTTGGTAACTATTTTCCAGTATAATTTATTATATCACAATCTTTAGCTTTCTAGGATGTTATCATCTATGGAAAATACTTGTTTTTCAGTTAAGAATAATATCTGCAGTGAGGTAAATTCAGACTGTGTACAAATCAACACTTCAAAATTCATATTGCTTTGGAGTCCACACCCCCAAAACGGAGGGTGTGTCCCTTCAGTGTCCAAGTTATTTTCTTCCCATCACCTCTAAATTACTAAATTACTATTAATTGTGTAATAGCCATTTAAAAATTACCACTGTGTTTAGTAATTTAGTGCTCAATTACTAAAAACAATCCTGTCTTAGATCCTCTCCTGTTTTCTCTCCTCCACTGAAGCAAATTACATAGTTGTAACATAAATTATGTGGCTTAGACCAATAAATGCCTGAGAAAACAGATATTTTGAGAACCCACAGGCCTCCAGGAGACTGAGAAAGCAATGGGGGCAACAAGGTGCTGGTTCCTCCCACATTCCCTTAGGTAAAGGTTTTCATTTCAGAGAGTGTCTCCATACTGTCAGCCTGTTTTTCCTTCTCCTGTATATGCCAGTGCATCTGCTCTGGACATTGCGGGGTACCAGCTTCAGTGGTAGAGCTTCCCTATACTGTCTCTTTTTTTCTCAGCTGCTGAGGAGGAAACTGACTTCTTTTACTATGGTTATAACTATCTTCTCTCACTGTTTTCTTTCTCTTTCATGTTTGAAATGTCTTCTGCTATGCCAAGAATAAATTTAATTCTATTATTTCATTTTCAGATTCAAAATACAAATAAACTGGCTTACTTTTGCAAATGCCAGCATAAAGTACTTCTCTGAGCCTAACATTCTTTTACGTAGCCCAGAAAAATAGCTGTGTATATGTGAGTTAGGCTAGCAGACCACGTGGTTGTCCCTGTGAGGTTTCAAGCAATCCCATGTGTCAGCAGATACCAACAAAACGTAGTAACAGAAATAATTCAGAAAAACTTAAATTGGTCACATTCATTTATTCATTCATGCCTTCTCCTACTCCCTCCTCTTACTGATGGAATTCAGCGTAGTAAACCTAGAACAAGACTTCTGCCCTAAAAGTTACACAGTCAGGCAAATGCATTACAACTCTTATGCTACAGTTTTGAGCCTCACTCCAAATGCTTTGAAAGTTTTTCCTAAGTGAATCAACTAAAGCATTTATATAACAATATAAAATCCAAGATGGCTAGAACTGTTTACCTTTTGCTTTCTCCTTTCCTGCTTTAGTATGATTCTGCTCCTGAAAGATGCAAATAATCATTGTTTTAATTGTTAAAGTATAATCTTGAGTCATGGCTTGAATTTCTCATCAGTGGTATTGAGAATTTAGGACATAAATATGTTATGTTATGTTATGTTATGTTATGTTATGTTATGTTATGTTATGTTATGTTATGTTATGTTATGTTATGTTATGTTATGTTATATCAAACCTATCTCTGTTGAAGTCACTTTGACTGATCCTGGTTTAGTCAGGTAAGGATAGGACCACATTCTGTCTTAGGGCTACCAAATACATTGAACATTCAGAAGGAAAAGCTTTTAGGCATTGGACCTGTAATGCAACTTTTCATCAATTCTTAATTTCTTAAAACATTATAAGAAATCTTTGTCAGTATATTCATTTCTCCTAATTTTCTTTGTCATGCTGCAACATAGTTACAAAACCAAAGAAACAAAGGAGCACAGTACAAGTTTCTACCTTTTGGGACTTCAGACAATATTGTGAACATTTTGTAAAAAATGTAAGAAAAATAGATTGTCACTACAAGTTTTATCGAGCTGCTGTTGCTTATGCAACATAGGAGACAGTTATACCTTAAACTACATATCTCACTTGTTAAACATAGTCTTAAATGAATTGCCTACAGGACACGGTGCATAAAATTGGAGCTCTGGGTAACTTCTGTGAGCAGGGTGTGCATGGCTGCAATCCTTGGGTCAGTAAGATTAGAACTTTTTTTTGAGAGTTAGAAATATGGAGTAGCCCCTTAGAATTACTTTTTTTTTTTTTTTACTCTGCTTAAAGTTAGAACACACTTTCTAAGCATAGGCACATAACTTTTACCCTTGCAGTGGGTAGAAGCTTCAGTAATGGATAGTTTTTCTGGCACCTAAAATGCAAATCCCAGACTCACCCAAGGAATCCTGACAGATCATTAACAGCAGCAGAAAGGAGCAGGATGATTTGCTATTTGCTAAGTGAGTACAATACTCCTACACACCGCTTTTTCTTACAGACAGAACAGTATTATAGACAGACATTTAGGAAAAAGTTGGGGTTGCAGGTTTTTTTTCAAACTGAAGCTCTCCTTTCCCCCTGCTTCACATAGGTAACTTTCAGAAACCTCATTTTGCTGGTAAGACGTCCAGATGGGTAAGGCATTATTTTAGTTTGATTCTGCAAAGAGTCAGGATGATTATAAAGCTGTTTAGCAAAGCTACTTTCAAATGGCTGACATAATCTGTGGGGTTTAAATTTCTAGTAGATAGGCAGAGGGCACAGCACCTAAAGAAACTGAATATTATCCTTTTTTTTTAATGTTACAACTCAGTTGGTGACTATTTTACTATTTCAGTGAATTTCAATAACTAAACATCTTTTTCCCCAAATGGGTGAAGGTGTGAGGAAAGGCCTAGGCAGGAGAGCCTCACCCAGCCCCAGTCTGCGGGGGGACATTAGGCCCAAACGTGACCCACCCTACCTGGTGTCGGGGGGCAGCTGCGTCTCCTCACACAGTCTGGTTCAGGAGGGGACACCAGGGCTGTCACACACACCATGGCCATGCCTGGTCTGTGAGGGGGCACTGGGGCTGTGACATACACCATGGCCATGCCTGGTCTGTGAGGGGACACCAGGGCTGTCACACACACCATGGCCATGCCCGGTCTGTGAGGGGGCATCGGGGCTGTCACACACACCACAGCTGCACCTGGTCTGTGAGGGGACACAGGCTCAGCACGGAGCCATTTCTGGCAGCCTTTGAAAACTTTCACTCACCGGCTGCCACCGACCCAGTTCATTTTCTGCCGCTGAGGAAGGAGGGAGGGCTGCCGTGTGTGGTACTGGGGATGCAGAGGGGAGGCAATGGCCACCACGGGGACAGTTTGAAGCCTCCTGGCAGGGCCGCAGGACCCTCCTGCAGGGCCTCCTCCTCCCTGGGAGCGCTACTGCAGCTGCTCTCCATGCCCCCAGGCCGCCCGGTGCTGGCAGAGAAGAGTGAGAGGGTGGTACCGGGACAGAGAGCAAAAGGAGAAGGATGCAGAAAGCCGAGCAGGGCAGGCTGATGGGGAGGAGGCGATGCTCTGCTTGCTGCCACCATTCCTCCACCACTAGCATTTCCATACAGACTGCTGCCAGAAGCCATTGCCCTTGTGCAAGGGAGTCACAAGCCTGTTGCTGTCCCAAGTGGATCGAATTCACAGTTATTGGAGTGGGCTACGCAGCTGTTGATGTTTTGCCTTTCAAGCCCAGCTTGTCACTGCTGCAATCAGCATAATTTTTAGGGCAAGAGAAGCACCTTCCTCCCTATCCTGCTCTTCCTCAGATATTTTAGGGGCAATGGGGGAATCAATGAGCATTTTCTACTAGTAGGCAGCGTTGTCCTTGGAGCTGCTTGATGAGCTTTCGTGTGTAAATAGTGACAAACCCTCACGGAGGGACGCAGAGCTGCGGGTGCTCCCTGTGCTCCCAGCGCACCTCCGCAGCAACGCAGCTCCCCTCGCTCCCTTCCCTGGGACTCACTGCCATCGTTTCAGCAAGTGAAGGCACCCATTTACAAAACAATCATTAAAATTCTATATAAATCTTTTCCTGCAGTGTTTTCTTGCTGAGTTATCATTAGCCTAATGTTTTTCAAGGTACCAATGCTCAATTGTCATTAGTACAACAATGCGGAGAGTACTCAGAGCAGGTATTAGGGACCTAATATTAAAAATGACCCAAGTTTTTTTCCTTCTAATATTTTTAATTTTGATAGGGTGTTCATAGAATCCACAGCTAAAAGATTATAGAAGTCAGATGATCTGCTTCTCTAAAATATCACCAATTAAACTGAATAAACTTATCAGACAGAAAGTTTTATTGTTTATCCCCAGTATTTCTGATTAGTATGCATTATTGTTTCTTATAATAACACTAGAATAAAATCTTCACAGTAAAATATATATATAGTAAGTGTATGTGCCTCTACAGCTAACATGACAGATGACAGATTGAAAGATTATTTAGCTTATTTCATCACCTGAAATAATCCTTTCTATTTTGTTTGCATTTCCATCTAGTGTAAATGTTTAACTTGTTAATACTATGACTAAAAGGCAGTTTCAGGCATGACATAATCCAATCCCTTTTACTTTTGTTTTCCTAACACAGTATTCATATTTTCTGTACCACCCTTAATCTTACTCTTCCATGGTACTATCTGGATTTAAAGGAAAAGACTGCGCTTTTCTTTATGTTTGATTTGAGCCTGGTAGATAGCACTAGCTCACAGAATCCAGAAGAAGTGACATGGCAGCTTCAATCAATTATTTTTTCAATATAAGAAAACTTCCCCTCCTAAAATACCTTTCAAATGGTCAAAAAATAATCAGTTCTTTCTTCACCGAAGGCAAAGGAAACAGTGAAATAAGACCAGAGATGCACATGACTCTAGATTTCCAGTGTCTAAATATTGCACCTTGACTGTCAACACATCGAAATAATTGATTTGAATTTTTCAGTGTTGCCACGCTTTCAAAGAATTACAGGACATTATTATTAATTTTTAAAAGGTCATGAGAATGAGTTTCATGGAGCTGAGTCGCTTCTCTGGGAAGTGAAGTAAGTATAGAACAAGGAGACTTCCTCCGTGCATCAGAAACTGAAGTTTAAAGAAGAAAAAAGCCACGAAGATTTCCCTTTTTTGTAACTTCTTAACAGCCACTCTTCAGAATAACTACATCTCATGTTCCTTTGTTAAGAAAGTATTAGACAGGTTCTTCTTCAGAACAGCTTTCCAACTGTTGCTAAAATAACTGTTGCAGCTGTCGTCCTTCAGCACTTGAGTTTTCCCCTCTGACATGCTTCTTCATTATCAGATCAGCTCTAGTTATAAGTGATGTAGCAAAGCAGTCCAAAGCAGTGTATCTGCGGCTATCTGATGTAAGACCACGTTTCTCCACGAAGGCTGGTGTTGAAATGTTGACCGTGCAGCTTTTGACACCCAGCTTTGAGTAAGTCCTCACAGAACCCCTATATAACCAAATAAGAGAGAGGGGATGTTGCAACACCCAGAGAGGAGGCAGCTAGGTTAGATAACTGAAACTGTGTGAAGTGAAAGCGTGTGCTGCTGTCTGCAGCATTATTGTACCCTGAAGCTTTGAATACCCTTCTTTCCCTTGGCAGGACAGCCTTCCCCTTGAGTGAACCGACATTGCATATGTAAAATCTTATACTCACTGGAGACAGTGAGAGAGAAAGAGAGAGAAGATGTGTTTCCAAATAATTTCTTAGAACTAACTCCACATGGTCCTCATGTTTCTTAATGCATCTTCCACTTCCCAGCAAGTGTCTTCATCTAGTGCTCATTATAACAAAGGAAGGGATTACTAAACAGATTAATATGTAGTAAAAAACCAAAAAACCCTGGGGATTCTCACAGTTGGGTTTAAATATTTTACATCATTACCAAATTTTTTGGTGTTAGTTTAACATATTTTAACTTTGATTTTTGCCCAAAATGTTTGATCCTAATATCTAGCATTGGGTAACTAAATCCATCCATAGATAACTATGTAAAAGATGCAGAGTAACTGAAATGCTTTTGAATCCTCTCTCCAGAGTGGGAATTTTTGGTACTTTTAAATGCCAGGATACACTTACGTAGGTGCCTAAATACTGACCCAATTATCTAATGCTAGGAATGCATGACTGAAAAGAAATGAGTCTCTTCCAAGTGAAAGCTTTTGTTTGGCAAAGCCAGTGCATAAACTTTGTTTACAGAGTTGCATGGTCTTCCTCCAGTCAATGCTCCTCTGCCCATTCCCCTCCTTGAGAGACCAGCTTATGAAGAAATAAAGTAATACTATCCTTGTGGTGTTTTATACTAACCTGGTTGGTGCTTTTGCCCTAAAAGAGTTTTAAAAGATTGCTGTGATATTGCAAAGTCATGACAGAGTCTGAGGCGGTTTAAAATGGAAGAAAAAACTTGTTTTAAAAACAAAGGTTCCCCTTTAAAAAGTAGTTCCTCTTGAAAGACAGAACTCTCTTTCAATTAATTTAATGAAATTTAATTCCCCTACTCACCTTTAAAAGGCAGAGGCCCTTTTTGATTTACTCTAAGGGCATTAGTTAAAAAAATTCTAGAAATAGCAGCAAGCCCAAGGATTTCTAGATTTTACCACAAAACACTAATCTTCAGCCAAACACCTAAAGAAAAACACAGTGGGCTTCCTTATATTCACGTACAAGGTATCAGTATTAGATTAGAAAAATGACAGTAAATTGCTGTATGAGATGACTAGTGTTCATTTGGTATGAAACCCCAGTTTAAATACCTACAACATATACTGAAATCAATGACTACCCAGCCATTCAACAGAAGATCAGTTTTGGCCCTGCCGTATTGGAAATAGTGCAACGAGAGACCACCTCATCTGGTTGTTTCTCCTGATATGTGCTCCTTGCTGAGCTGGATTCATTAGATTAGGTTTGAAGGAGTTAGGAGTGAGCATAAATGGAAAGGGATGATGCCATTAATCCAAAGACTAGAGAGTAGAGAGGCTAAATCGTTTCCAAACACAGCAAACCAGTCACCTCAGAGAGAAGCACATAATCTACATGGGTTGAAATTCAAAGCCCCATTGGGAATAACATGGGACTGGATCTCCATGTCAAACCACCAGCCAGGGCAGTACCATTGACAACAGTATATTGACATGTTGCTGTATGAAGCAGATGCCATTCTTAGGTGGTACTATTTAGATGGAATTATTTTTCACAGAATGAGCCCTCCAGACAAAGTGTGGTCCTCGGCTTGATGCAGAACAACGCACAAGATCTGCTTCAGACTCTCATGTTGGAATCCCCACTTTATAAAAGCAATATTTCTACAAAGAGCAACAAAGACCAAAGAATCCTCTATAGTTGTGCTAACCTCCAGTAAGGGAACATATAGTTGTGCTAAACTCCAGTACGGGAACAATGTGAGGCTTCTTAAAAATAAATTAGGAGAGGGAGCTAAAAGAATGAAATCCTTACATGTGGCTAGGAGAAAGCTGAAGGACACCAGACTTGAAGCACAGAGACAGTCTGAACCATAGCAAAAAGCTATCCTGCACTCAAAAGAAGATAACAGAAAGGAACGTGAACTTTGATAAACATAAAAATACAATTAGACAGGCCAAAAATAATTTGGGAAACAACTAGGCAAAGGAACCAAATGACTAAATCATTCTTCTTACACATCAACCAGCAGCAAAAGCCTGCTAGAAAGTCTGTAGGGCCAGTTGGTGACCAAAGTACAACACGAGCGCCCAGAGGAGACATGGATGTTACAGAAAAGGTAAGTTAGGTTTTTTTGCATCAGTATTCATTGATGAGGAAACTGGGGAGAACTTTACGCAGCAATCCTTTCTGGAGAACTCAGGAGAGGATCCGTCTAAAGTGAAAATAACAGTAGACAAGGTGAAAATGATCTTAGCAAGACAGACTGAACACTAGCATAGCACCAAGACTAAATGGGATTCACTGAAGAGGTCTATAATGCAACAAGGACCACTTAAAACTTCCTTGGTTTTGGTGACTAGAGGGTAACAAATGTGACACAATTAAAAAAAAAAAAAAATCTGTGGCAATCCAGAAAGCCTACCTTTGTAGTACAAAAAATAGCAGGAACTATAATATAGGCCACCTCGTGAAGAGCCAGCATAGCTTCTGTAGATGGAAGTGTTGCCTCACAAGCATGTAAAAAAGAGTGACTGTGATTGCTGTAGCCTTGATGGATTTAATTAAGGCTGTTGACAACATCTGTTACTGAAGG